CGACAATGCTACGGGAAGCGTAGAAATCAGTAACCTATGGCGTGATCACTATAGAAATCTATTTCACGATGTGACACATCCCGCTCTGTAATTCTGCCACGAAAATCGTCGACGCACCGACGGTTACTTTTCGAGAGGTGGAAAACGCCGTCAAAGCTCTCAACACGACCGGCAGTGCGTGTGTAGATAGAGAAATGTGTGTCCCTCTCTTTTTCTTTACCTTTCCATTCACTTTTCCTGGTTCATTAAAATTGAATTTGACACATTTTGTTTCTTTTCCATCCCTGCATTTCTTCTCTTTCTCTCTCTCTCTCTCTCTTCTCTCTCTCTCCTCTCTTCTCTCTTCTCTCTTCTCTCTTCTCTCTTCTCTCTTCTCCTCTCTCTCTCTTCTCTCTCTTCTCTCTTCTTCTCTCTCTCTCTCTCTCTTCTCTCTTTCACATGCTATCTCTATCTCTCTTTCTCTTTATCGTATTCATTTTCATATTCATCCTTTTCCTTCTATCATTATAATTACTACTACAACTTCAACTGTTTTTATCATCAATGGTTATCATAAATTGCCCAGAGAAGATAAAGTACATAATAAACAAAATGATGAAGAGGTGTATCTTGATGCCATCAGTACATGAATATATACGTCAAATCTTTTAAGAATAATTAATAAAATAAGGACTGGATAGGCCTGATAGACAGGCCTATCATCAGGCACAGTTCAACAATACATGATTAGGAACATGCTCTTTTTTTATTTTATTGAGAACGCTATCATCAGCTGATGTCTGATCCAATATAGATTGATGTACATGGCGATGTACAGTTGTATTACTACACAGAGGTAGGGTAGGTACACCCTAAAAAGCACAACACAAATAAATACCGATGCCCCTCCACTCGCGAATGGATGCAGGCCTGCGCCACGGGTGCAGACAAGAGATTGCTCAGCCTACGGTAATTTTGTACAATATAGAAGCGGGATCACAAGTTCGACCATGAAAAAAATATTTAGAAAATCACTATTCATTCAATCCCTTCGGATCTCGACGCCACTCCATGTCTGGTTGGTTTGGCACAACTTCCACGACATCCACAGCGTCGGGCTCGTGCATGTACGGTCCAACAACCATCAGCTCTTGATATTTCTCTTCTTCCAACTCTTCGAAGACGTAGGCACCCTCTGAAGAGCTTATACCAATGTCTTCGTCGGAATAATCCGATGAAACTTCACTGCCGCTGTAGTCTTGAAGTGAGTTCGCCATGTACAATGTATTGAATGCAGAAATGCAGTGATCGTGTTCTGGAATTGGGTCGCACATCCGGGTTCCGGGATTTTCGCGGGAAAATATAACTTGACTTCGGAAAATCGAAATAAATCAATAAGTTCTAAATTTTGGGGAAATATTTTCAGATTTCCTTTTTTTTACTGATATTAAAGAGATGGTTTGCGAGCTATTTTTTCCCTATTTAAATTTTTCAGTTGATACTTCACTTTAATATATATATATAATATATAATATATATATATATAATTATATATATATATATATATATATATATATATATATATATATATGCATATATACATAAGCATCAACATATTTCAGCATACTATAAGTTGTATAATAATAATATAATTATATATATATATATATATATATATATAATATATATATATATAATATTATATATTCAATGTAATATATATACATATTGCACACACACACACACACACACACACACACACACACACACACACACACACACACACACACACACACACACAACACACACACACACACACACACACACACACACACACACACACACACACACACACACACCCACACACACCACACACAATCACACACACACACACAACACACACACCACACACACCCACACACCACACACACACCACACACCACATATATTTTATATATATATATAATATATTATATATATATATATAGTATATATAGTATATACATATATTTATAACGTATTATATGTATATATATAAATATATAATATATATATATATAGAATATATATTATATATATATATATATATATATATATATATGTCTGCATATTATATTAATGTATATATACATATTGTATACACACACACACGACACACGACACACAACACCAAGCACACAGCGACAGCATAAACACACACACACCCAATGACTATCGACTATTATAGTATATGCGAGAGATGAAATAAAGTGTAGTAATATAGTAGTATATAGATTTATATATAAATGACTATGACATGATCGTGGGATAGATAGTGATCTCTTAAATACATACATTGTAAGTGTACACACACACACACACACCAACACATCACACAACACACACACGAGCAATCACACACACGAACGACACGAAAACATCATACTTCATCGTATACTCGTACTGTAGGAATAACATACTTATACCTATAGTAGTACATATATATACTCTATCTTACCTCTTATCTACTCTAGTATTTGACTGACTACTCTTCATGATATCGGTCAATCTATTCCACTTAGTTACTCTTATCTAGATGGAGCTATATACTTAACTAGCTACTTACTCTCTTCTCTATTCAACTTCTATCATACTTACTTATATAGTACTTATATATCAATACCTATACGTCTTATACTCTCTTCATATATTATATATCTTATTATATATATAGTAGTATATATGTACCACTATATAATATATATTATAGTATATATACTCCTATCTTACTCTTATGCTAGCACGTGTAGATATATATATAGATGTACATCCTCGTATCTCTATCTAGGAGTAAGTCAGTACTTATACTCTATATATATATCTTATATATATACTACTCTCTTACTTATACTCTATATATGTCCATACTGATATAATTATTCGAATATATATAGTAGA